TGGTCTGGTACTGTATTGGTGGTGTGGTGCATGGTGATAGTGTGGTGCTGTGGTGGTGGTGTGGTACTGTGGTGGTGGTGTGGTACTGTGTTGGTGGTCTGGTACTCTGGTGGTGTGGCACTGTGGTGGTCTAGTACTGTGGTGGGTGAGGTAATTTGGTGGTGTGGTACTGTGGTGGTGTGGTACTGTGGTGGTGGTGTGTGTTACTCTGGTGGTCTGGTAATGTGGTGGTTGTGTTTGCAGGTACTGTGGTGGTCTGTTACTGTGGTGGTGGTCTGGTGCTGTGGTGGTGGTGTGTTACTGGTGTGGTGGTGTGCCTGTGTTGGTGTGGTACTGTGGTGGGTTGGTACTGTGGTGGTGGTGTGTTACTCTGGTGGTGGTACTGTGGTGGTGGTGTTGTGGTACTGTGGTGGTCTGGTACTGTGGTGGTGGTCGGGTACTGTGGTGGTGGTGTGTTACTCTGGTGATCTAGTAATGTGATGGTTGTGTCGTCTGTGTTGGTGTGGTACTGTGGTAGTGAGTTACTTTGATGATGTGGTAATGTGGTGGTAGTGTGGTACTGTGGTGGTCTGGTACTGTGGTGTTTCAGTATGGTACTGTAGTGGTGGTTTGGTACTATGGTGGTATGGTACTGTGGTTATGGTGTGTTACTGTGGTGGTGTGGTACTATGGTGGTGTGGTACTGTGGTGGTTTTGTGTTACTGTGGTGGTGTGGTACTGTGGTGGTGCTGTGGTACTGTGGTGTTGCGGTGTGGTACTGTGGTGGTGGTGTGTTACTGTTGGTCTGGTACTGTGGTGGTCTGGTACTGTAGTGGTGGTGTGGTACTGTGGTGGTGGTGTGGTGCTGTGGTGGTGGTTTGGTGCTGTGGTGGTGGTGTGGTGTGGTGGTGGTCTGGTACTGTGGCGGGTGTAGCACTGTGTTGGTCTGGTACTGTGGTGGTGTGTTACTGTGGTGATGTGGTGTGGTACTGTTGTGGTGTGGTACTGTGGTGGTGGTGTGGTACTGTAGTGGTGGTATGGTACTGTGGTGGTGGTGTGGTACTGTAGTGGTGGTCTGGTACTGTGGTGGTGAGGTACATTGGTTGTGTACTGTGGTGGTGGTGTGGTATTGTGGTGGTGGTGAGGCACTTTGGTCGTGGTGTGGTACTTTGGTGGTGTGGTGGTGTGGTTTTGTGGTGGTGGTGTGGTACTGTGGTCGTGGTGTGGTATTGTGAGATCCGGTACTGTGGAGGTGAGGTACTTTGTGGTGCGGTACTGTGGTGGTGGTGTGGTACTGTGGTGGTGGTGAGGTACTTTTGGTGTAGTACTGTGGTGGTGAGGTACTTTGGTGGGTGGTACTGTAGTGGTGGTGTGGTACTGTGGTGGTAGTACTCTGGTGGTGGTGTACTGTGTGTGGTGGTGTACTGTGCTGGTGGTGTTGTGGTGGTGTTGTACTGTGGTGGTGTGGTACTGTGGTGGTGAGTTACTGTGGTGGTGGTGTACTGTGGTGGTGTTGTACTGTGGTGTGTACTGTGGTGGTGTACTGTGGTGGTGGTGTGTTACTGTGGTGGTGGTGTACTGTGGTGGTGTTGTACTGTGGTGTTACTGTGGTGGTGGTATGTTACTGTGGTGGTGGTGTACTGTGGTGGTGTTGTACTGTGGTGGTGTGGTACTGTGGTGGTGGAGGCACTGTGGTGGTGGTGTACTGTGGTGGTGGTGGTACTGTGGTGGTGAGGTACTGTGGTGGTGGTGTACTGTGGTGTGTGGTACTGTGGTGGTGTGACTGTGGTGGTGGTGGTGTGTTACTGTGGTGGTGAGGTACTTTGTGGTGTGGTACTGGGTGGTGTGGTACTGTGGTGGTGGTACTGTTGTGGTGGTGTGTTGCTGTGGTGGTGTGGCACTGTGGTGGTGGAGGCATGGTGGTGTTGTAACTGTGGTGGTGGTGGTGAGGTACTGCGGTGGTGAGGTACTTGGTGGTGTTGTACTGTGGTGGTGGTGTACTGTGGTGGTGTAGACTGTGGTGGTGGGTACTGTGGTGGTGAGGTACTTGTGGTGTTGTACTGTGGTGGTGGTATGTTACTGTGGTGGTGGTGTACTGTGGTGGTGTTGTACTGTGGTGGTGTGGTACTGTGGTGGTGGTGTACTGTGGTGGTGTTGTACTGTGGTGGTGGTGTGTTACTGTGGTGGTGAGGCACTTTGGTGGTGTGGTACTGTGGTGGTGTGGTACTGTGGTGGTGGTGTACTGTTGTGGTGGTGTGTTGCTGTGGTGGTGGTGTGGTACTGTGGTGGTGAGGCACTTGGTGGTGTTGTACTTTAGTGGTGGTGTTGTACTGTGGAGGTGGTGTGGTACTGTGGTGGTATTGTAATGTGCTGGTGGTGTACTGTGGTGGTGGTGTACTGTGGTGGTGGTGTTACTGTGGTGGTGGTGTGGTACTGTGGGAGGTACTTTGGTGGTGTTGTACTGTGGTGGTGGTGTTTTACTGTGGTGGTGGTGGTGGTGAGGTACTGCGGTGGTGAGGTACTTTGGTGGTGTGTTACTGAGGTGGTGGTGTGTTACTGTGGTGGTGGTGTGGTACTGTGGAGGTGAGGTACTTTGGTGGTGTGGTACTGTGGTGGTGTGGTACTGTGGTGGTGTGGTACTGTAGTGGTGTTGGACTGTTATGGCGGTGTACTGTGGCGGTGTTGTACTGTGGTGGTGTGGAACTGTGGTGGTGAGGTACTGTGGTGGTGTTGGACTGTTATGGTGGTGTACTGTGATTGATTTTTTTATTTTGCCGCTTGCAGCGGCTACTTTATTGTGCACCCCACACTCATCCAGTGAGCGGTAGCGCAAAAGGATTACAGAGTAGGGTTTACAAAGGGTCATAATAATTAACCCCCGTTGTCAGGATATTATGGCACTGAAAGTTACACAGTGTTTCATTTACATTATTTGTTTAGTTCTATACATATAGGGTAACTTATTCACAAATGCGTGAGAACAGGCGTGTGAGCAAAATGTCTGGCCTCACACTTTGTTATTCACATTTACGTGGGAGGTATTCACATTGCGTATTTGATTCTGTACGCGAGAATTGATATAGTTACTAAATTGCAAAATAGTGGACACAATCTTTAATATGTCGGCTATCTCTTGCCTTTAGGAGATGATGTTATTGCCATTTCACACACAGTGTGCTTAGACCTGTCCTAAAGGTTCTATCTTCACACAGTCGAGGACGTAGTGTTCAAGTGTGTGGCCATATGTGGCCACACACTTCCCATTAGTTTTGTTTACATCTGCTTGAGGAACATACTGCCAAGGTATATGTATCCTAACAACAATCTGTAGTACAACATCTTGTAATCTAATAATCTTGTTACTTGCTCCTTATACATCATTTCACTTGATACATCTCATCATGGTAACCCTGTGGATCGACTAGTGCCTGTTGCACTTGTCTACTTGCGTCAAACTCATCAATAAAGTTCTTTCCTAATTGTTACAGTTTTAAAGGGTTCTTTGACAGACCCAAATTGCATTAGCAATTGTCTTTTGTTAGACATGGCAGAGTTTGGCAGGGGCATCAACTCTGTCATGTTTTATGGGGCCTGTGAAGGGATCCACATTGGATTTATTACAACACTTGATCCAGCAAGGCACGCATATTTGTGTCTGGCTTCAGAGACAAGAGCGTGACAACCTGTGTCGAGGGTACCAAGGGCAAGTAGTAAGGATAGAGAGTCAGTGATGATGAGACTGTCAGTAACAGTGGTTTCAATGAATTTAATAGCTGTGAGTATGGCAACTAATTCAGTTTGTAGAGTGGATGCCCAGTTGTTAATTCTAACTCCTTTCTCAATTATATTACCGTCAGGTTGTGTCACAACAATAGCACTTCCAGTCCTCCCACAGGCGGTGTTTAGAGATCGATCAGTGTAGATGGTCTGTGTGATATTATCATCAGTCTGTAGAGTGTGTATGTGTTCAAGAGCTCTCAATTTGGCAGTGTGTTGGAGATAAATGCTTTGTATAATTAATTTTTTAGGCGGATATGTCGGTATTGTGATATCGAAGGGAACTGTCCGCCAGGGTGGCAGGAAGCGCTGTTGTGTCTCAACTTTGTACAGGTGGTCTAGTCCAAACATCTTCATATGTGTTTGGATCCATTTAGACTCAGTAGTCCCATGGTTCATACATTCTAGCAATTTTAAGGAAACAATGTTATCAGGATCACCACGCAGAAGCCTCAGGGCTGTCATGAGATTGACTTCAATTATTCTATCTTTAACACTGGGTATTCCTAGTTCTTTCCTCATATTAAGTACTTTAGTGCTCATGGGACATCCTAGGATAATTCTGAGGCTTTATTTTGCATTTTCTCGAGCTTGTCAACGCCTTTCCCGTCACGAATGACCAGGGCTGGTGCGTGGTAATCTATCAGAGATCTTGTATAGCCTAGGTACTGTGGTGGTGTTGTACTGTGGTGGTGTGGAACTGTGGTGGTGAGGTACTGTGGTGGTGTTGGACTGTTATATATATATATATATATATATATATATATATATATATATATATATATATATATATATATATATATATATATATACATAAGAAAGAAGAAAATATTTTCTTTCCTGTGGTTATCAGCATACACCAGATCACGCACTATAAAGTGATTTACTATATATATATATATATATATATATATATATATATATATATATATATATATATATATATATATATATATATATATATATATATATACACACTATGTCCCCGTTATTGGCAGTGTATAGAAGAGCGTTTAACTTCATCGATTAAGTTGTATCACAAAGAGGTTAGTTAATATGGTATCAGTATTACACAATGACTCTACTTTACCTGTAACCATGGTGGACCTAGCTGCCTATACCTGCCACCTCTCCTCTTCAGTATTGCGTATTTTCAAGGTTGAGAATCTTGTGGTTATAATTCAGGCACATGGGTTCTAATTTATTTGTTTCTGGTTCATAATTAAGGATAAAAATAAAACAAGTATGTCAAGTGGTTTATTAAAAATATGCTTAGATTAAAGGCAACGTGAGTAACCTCGGCAACCCCGGGCAGAGGACGGTTCACCCTCACAACTGTCAAGAGATAAGATACATATAGTGAGTTAGTTGTGTCAATATATCTACTATGAAGCCAAAATTTACTTCTTACACCAGTGATATATTAATTGTACTAAAGTTAGAACTACCACTAAACTATAACATAAAGTGAAGAGGATGCAGGTACTGTACAGTGCAGCAAGTTGCAGCACATTTTGGGTCTCAGAGGTAAGGAGAACTACAGTACACCATACTGACTAATAAGCCTTCTGTAAGTAAGGAGACAGTATGGCAGACACTGCACTCTACGACTTCACTCTCCCATCTGCAAATTTAGGGATCCCAGGTACTCACCAGTGACCCTAAGGACTGGACGCCAGTGTTGTATCCCCTCACCCCTGGTGTGCGGTTATAACTAACATCATTATATTACTATGATAACACAAATAATGGATGTGTCTTCTTTTTCAGTTTTAAAACAAAATTCCTTCTCCATGAGACTGGCCTGGGCACACAATCCACCCGTTGGTAGCTAAATTAACAGTTGGGGAAGTGAAGGCGGTCGAGTGTAGTGCCGGCCACGTTGCCTCCTTGTGTACCGGGAACTTAGTATTCATTGTGATGTATCCGGCCTATTCTTAATGAACCGCAAGGCCCATGGATCCTCCACTTTCATTTACTCTTAAAGGACAGTGCCAGAGAAACATATTATCTAACAACGCCATCGTTTAGATAATGTTGTCGATATATTTTCTTGCCAAAAAAATCCCAAAACAATGAACTACAAAACCACACTTTCAAAAGTTCAATGAAAAATACAAGTTAAGGCAAAAAGTGGCAAACATTCTCTGCAGCATATGACGTCACATTCGACATTATCAGGCAAGCATTAGTAGGCTGAAGGTAAATGTTACTTTGCACAGCAGTCCCCGGGGAAATTTACTTTCAAAGAGACATTTAAGGTTTCATATCTAACGTTAATGATGTTCTGACAGCAAAAAAAGTCACAAAATGTACTATCATGGGCCATGGAGATAAAGATATACTCCCTGAGACTTGACCAGGTCGTTGACACTCGCCTGACGAGGAAGGAACACAACACTGCAAATATTTTTTTTTCATTTAAATTATTCACACAACAAACCTCGAAGCTCCAGTTGATAAAGGTAATTGAGATACACATTGGCCTTCCTTACGAGAATTCTTCTCCAACTTTCCCTGGGATGAATGTTGCTTTTCCACTCGGGACGTCTCGGTATATGCTGACGACATTGCTGGGGTTATATAGGGTGGTATGAGTGCATTTATCCCAACTTCTACCAAAACTTTCACTTTATAATCATGGTTTGATTGATCCTGTTCTCTTGCATGTAGGGAGAGAGATAGGACGTATCAAGTTATGAAACCATTTCCTTCACCTGTTACTCACTCGTCTTTCATTACTTTTAGGTGTCGTTGTAAGGATATTCTTCTTAGGACCAAGAGGAATTTTACAAAAAAAAAAAGACCGCTGACCTGACTAACTCTTCTTCTAGTAAATCCTTCTAGTCCTTAACCAAAAACATCAGTAATAACGTCTGCACTCCCTCTTTTCCTCCTCTCTTCCGGCCTGATAACTGTATAACCAACTCTCCCTTTGATAAAGCCAATCTCTTTGGCACCTTATTCTTCTCTAACTCCACCTTAGACGGTTCCAACTCTGCCCCTCCTACCCCTGCTCCTCCTATTCAACCTATGCTCTTTCCCATAATCTCCACTCGTAGGGTTACTGGTGTGTTATATAATCTGGATGTAAGTAAGGCACATGGACCAGGAATACTCCCTCGTGTTCTGAAGTTCTGGCCCCTGTACGTACTCGCCTCTTTCGCCTTTGTCTCAAAACCTAAACTTTTCCTTCTTCTTGGAAGTATGCCTCGGTTCAGCTGATCCCGAAGGGTGACCATTCTAATACATCTAACTATCGCCCCATTGCCCTAACTTCATCCCTCCCGAAGATTTTCGAAACCATCTTAAACTTTCATTTTCTCCGTCACCTTGAACACTTTCTCTTTTGTTGGATGACCAGTATAGCTTCCACCAGGCGAGATCTACTTGTGATCTGCTCTCTTACTGCACCCATCTTTGGTCATCCTCTCTTAGGGATTATGGGAAAACTTTCGTCGTGACCCTCGACTTCTCCAAAGCATTTGACAGGGTATGGCACAAGTCTTTGCTTTCTAAACGTTCCTCTTATGGTTTCTCTCCTCCACTTTGTTCTCTAATTTATAGCTTCCTTGAGAACCGATCCATGGCAGTTGTTATCGAGGGATCGATCTGTCGCTCTTTCTCTACCAATAGTGGTGTTCCACAGGGTTCTGTTCTTTCACCTACTCTCTTCTTTCTTTTTATCAACGATTTACTTCATACAAAGCTGATGATTCTACACGTCACTCTTCTTATTTTCCCCTTCCCCCTAATTCTCAAACTAGATCTGTTTCTAGAGCCGATATCGTTTCATCTATCAATACGGATCTGTGCAGCATCTCCGAATGGGGAGGTGGACATATGGTTAAATTCAAAAGTGATAAAATACAGTATTAACCAATTACATTTTCCAAAATAGAAGATCTCCCACCAATCTCATTTCAGGGTGCAATCATTTTGCCAAACTCTAAAATCTATATGCTAGGTCTCACCATTTCCTCTAATATATCATGGAAACCACACATCTAAAACATTGCTAAAGCTGCCTCCCGAAAGCTGGGAATACTGTACAGATGCCATAGCAACTTCACTCCTAACTTGGAGTACTGCTCTCATATCTGGGGTGGTTCTTCTTCTGTCCAACTTTTAGATAGGGTGGAATCAAACGCACTTTGTCTTATTCGCTCTCTCTTTTACAAGTACTTTAACGGGCATTGTTTGATGGCTTTGGCATCCTGTGTACCGCCGGCAAGGCAATGAGCTCGTAACACACGTCTTGCCTGCGGTACCCACCATTTCTTTGTGGATGTCGGTTACACTAGAATAACCCGTTATAGTACATACTTCTTTCCTCATACAGCCAAACTGTGGAATGCTCTGCCTTCTTCTGTGTTTCCATACTCTTACACTGTCTCAATAAAAAATAAAAAAACGGTTTTTCGGCATATTCGTGGAATATACTAATACAATCTTTTTCTCTTCTATTTTTTTTCTTTTTGCTCTTATTTTTTCTTCACCCAGGCCAGGTTGTGGGTCGATGACCTGTGACTGAGTGGACTATTCCCCGTTAAAAAAATAAATAAATAATTCCTTTTCTTTTACAACAAGCAAGTTTTGTAAAATGAGGCGATGATCACATTCAAGGTAAAATAATTTTTTTTTTTTTTTTGGGTCGTAACATTGTTTACTGTCTAATTCCTATATAAATTTATGACATTGAAATTTGTTTTCGTTGAGTTTTTAATATATTACACTAAAGATAATTTACAGCTCATTGCTTTAGTTCACGAATACACCATGACGGACGTAACGCTGCAGGGACAATTTAGGCAGGTTTTTTAGTCAAAACTCTTGTGCGAAAAAAAATATTTTTACATTTTATGTAACAGTAATCCTGAAAAAAAAAATGTCTGGAAACGACATTGAACTGCAAAACGAAACTGATATTCATTCAAATAAACGAAACTGAACTAAGTTTTTAAATCAAGGTTTCTTGCGGACTGTTGCAAGAGTGAAAGGTGTGTAGTACATTACCTTATAGATGAGGCGGTATCAGAGGATGGTCTCCTCAGCGAACATGAGCTGGTGGACGGAACAGGGCAGGTCCTCACTCCTCAGCTCCGTGTTCTGCGACTCCCTCCTCTGTCTCCTCGGCGGAAGGTTTTCAACTCTACTTGGTAAAACTAAAGACCTCGGGCGTCTGTGATCTGTTAATCTTGAGGAACGTCGCAGTACTGCACCAGGGTAGTTTTCTGTTACTGTGGATGTAGACTGTAGAGTCCTGAGAGGGTAGTTATCACCTAATGTTGAGGGCCGCGGTAAAGTCCAGCCTCCGCGGTGTGCTGTTCCCCCGGGTAGCTGTCGTGGTGCATCACCGCCATAGTTCTTTGGTTCTCTGGGGTGATTTTGTAACATATTACCTCGGAAGTGTTGTGGTTCGTTGGATGTGTACTTGAGCCTCCAGTCTTCATAACTTTCTGCTAGGTTCTGAGGACGTGGTAGTGTTCCCCCGAGGATGCCTGCTGCACCCTGGGGAGAGTGGTCTTCCCAATTACCGGTAGATTCACTGACGCTAGTAGTAATTCCCGATGTCATCTTGCCCGTGTAAACGGTGCCTTCTTTGTTAGACTTCCGTAACCATCCACCAGGAGGCTCTTCTACTGTCTTGGGACACAGTTGAAGGTTAGGGGTGGAGAAGTTGTCTTCGTTGCGGGAGGAATTGATGACCCAACCCCCGGGGTAGTCCTCGGCGTCCTGAGGGAGGTGCTGCAGCCACTCACCGATATACTCGTCGTCTTTCTTAGACACGTGTTGCAGCTTCTTGGCCAGCGTGTCCTCGCACTCCTTAGGGAACAGCTGCAGCCACTCTCCCAGGTAGTTGTTCGCGTTTTTCACTGCCTCCTGTTCCTTCTCGTCTGCGGGCGTCTCCACTGCTTTTATTTTTTTCTGGGAGCGTAAGAGTAAGAATTAGTATTAGACCCCAATTTTTCAGGTCTTTGTGACTTTTCCCATGTCTGTAGAGTTTCGTAGTATAGACACTCACTAAACTAGAATCTCCCCCGTAAAGGTTCCTCAAAGTAGCCTGAGTAATCCTAGTCACTAAGAGTGGCAGCAATCCAAAAAGATGCTGATAATTCTGTACCATTGAACAGTAAAAAAAAATGTTTCTACATATATAAGAGTTAGCATGACCTACAATGTGTTCAAAAGGTCAGCATTAAATCAGAGAGGTACATATAATGGTTCATACCTGTGCTTTATCAAACATTAATACAGTAGATCTTATAAGAACGAAACTATAAACAAAAATGTGTTCGGAGGAGCCAGAGTATTGTACGTCTGACGAGCTTCAGGATACGTGAAGAGACGGAGGGTGTGTGAAGAACTGAGAGAGAGAGAGAGAGAGAGAGAGAGAGAGAGAGAGAGAGAGAGAGAGAGAGAGAGAGAGAGAGAGAGAGAGACTGTACGTAGACATAGAGAGGAGGAAGATTGTAGGTAGACAATTAGCTCTGAATTTGAGCTTTAACAGAAATGACATAGTTAGTCAGTGATTTTTTATACACACTTTTCTATGAGCACCCACCATGGCAGCCCTCTGACGGCGAGGGTTGACCACCACCTTGAAGATGTCCTCGACGGTTGCTATGCCGCAGGTGTTGTCGTCCTGGGGGTGTGAAGCCTGAGGTTGGTAGTCCTCGCTGTCCTCCTCACACTCTCCGGGTACTGCCTGATACACTGGTCCCTCTGTACACACACAAAGTCAGATACACCCAGTAGTATTAATCTACATCATGTATTAGTTGTGCTGTTTGATATAACTAGCAGCCATCACGACCCTGTTTATTGGTACACTTGAGGAGCCTAACGTACACAACAGCTACTTCACTCAGGTTTACACAAACATAAACAAACTGATGATAACTAGAAGAACACATCGTATATGTTAACTGTTGAGTGCTAGGCGATGGTGGTGCAGGATTAATGGTCTTAGAAATCCACTGTAATTTACTGGTCTTCATTCATACTCTGTTTATGATGATTAACAGGGAAGGAATAATTGTCTAATCGTTTTGTGTTGAGAGAGACAAATGGGTGATATTTACCGTTGTGCCAGAGGTCCCCAGAGGAGGGCAGTGGCCTGGTCGACAGGGATGACGTGGGTCTACCTGTGGTGGGGAACCTTCACTGACACAACCTTCACTCTTCATTATTATCATACACACATATATTGATCACTAAAAATATCAACAAAAGGTTAAATGTCGTGAATGTGAATGTGCAGGTGGTGAGGGTGAATGGGGCGTCTCCCAGGAAGATTATACACAGATTGGTGTCCCTACATTGTTGTCTTACTACATATTATAATTTGAGTCATTATTAACTCCAGATAAAGAGTTGAAATTATGACTATAATAAATTGCTGGTCTGTAAATCTTAGAACCATAGATACTCGTGGCAGACATTTAGGAGATAATCTCCCAGTGGTTTTTACTCTCCTCCTGAGTTCTGTCTTGTGAATGTGGTATATATTTATATAATATCTATGGGCCGTGCTTTCTCCCTATTTATACTGTGATGGTTTTCCTCTGTTATTACAGCATCTTCAGACCACGTGGTGAACCGGACTGAATGTGACCCAGGACTTCATCATACCTCATGGGCTTAACCGGAAGTGGGTGCGGCTAGTATGGCGAAATTCATACCCACATGTCTACCAATAGTGCAGTGGGATGCCAGGAAACCAATTGTTGTTATGCTTGTGGTTTCATTGTTATAACATTTAGTTTAGCTCATATTATCGACCCATTGTGTTCCCATTGATATATCTGTCTTTCTCCCATTAAAACTAAGCCTCAAACCTTGTGTAGAAGTTAATGTAAGCGTGTGAATTAAATGATGATCATCTGTGCATGCGCAGGTGGGTGGCGCTTACTGGGTCAGCCACTCCTGCTGACCCAGGTCCTCTGTCTATCTTGTCCTAGCCTTGGTTGAGGGAAAATGTCTGTCTTACTCCAGATCCTGCCCAGGCCAGAAATGTCTGTCTCTTCCTCTCTCTCTTTCTGAGCCATGTGGCTTATGGTTTGCATATCCTTTCCAAGGTAATATTCGGTGATAGTCAGTGGTGCTTATGCTGAACTTATAATTAGGTAAGAAGTGCATTTACATTATGTCTTGTACCTTTTTATTATTAAATATGTGTAAATAAGGTAGATTTACCTTGGTAATTCTGTTGGTCCTTTTTGCCCAGGAATTTATTCTTCAGCCATGAATGAGTATTTGGGAATACTTAAAGAGTTTGCCATGAAGTCTACCATACTGTACTTAAAACCTATGTCTTTTGGGGTAAGCTTGGGCGAGACACAGGGTTGTGATAGATTGGGGGCCGAGATCCGAGAGAGAAACAAATTACACATGCAATTTTGATAAAACTAAGTTATTTGTGCTGTTCTTTCAAGTTTATGCAGCAAGTTCTATTTAATTCTTAATTTATTACAGAAGACACGTGTTCACCCAGGCTCATTACACTCAATCTGTAAAGTTTAGTAAATTTGGTTCACATGTAAGTTCCCTTCCAAGCTGCAGCATTTTAGTGTAGACACCGCAGCCTGCTTTGTACCCAAATTTAAGAAGGATGAACCTGAAGGGTTTTTCCCACATTTTGAGAGAACAGCTAAGTTTCATGACTGGCCTGTGGATAAATGGGTATTTTTGGCACACAGTAGGGCAGCAAAATATAACAACCTGTGCATTATGGGGGATTTCAACTTCAGAAATATTGACTGGGACAACATTGTAGGTGACTATGAATCTGAAGACTTCCTAGATGCAGTACAGGAAAATTTTTTTAAACAACTAATTACAGAACCTACTAGAGGTGACAATATATTAGACTTAATATTAAAAAATAAAGAAAATATTATCAGAGATATCACAGTAGGGGAAGAACTAGGGAACAGTGATCACAGAGAAATCAGGTTCACCCTAAATTGGGAAACGAAAAACAATGACAATATTTTTAGAGTCCCAAACTTTCGGTTGGCGGATTATCGGGTTAAGAAGGTACCTAGGTGAGGTCACCTGGGAACAGTCACGTCAGTTCCCAGTAGGAAGGGGTGAGGTCATAGATGACACAACAATTGATCATGACTATAATATATTCACTAGTATACTGCATAAAGCACAAGAACAAAATATACCATACAGAGAAATTAGGTCAAATAAGAATGAGCCAAGATGGATGACCAGAAAACTTAAACATGACATAGGAATAAAGAAAGAAATTATTAAGAAATTAAAGGGAGGGGAGGAGCAGCTCAGAAATAGGTATAATGAACTATCTAGGAATGTTAAGAAAAATGTAAGGAAAGCAAAGAGAGACTATGAAATCAAAATAGCAAGAGAATCCAAGCGAATCTTAAGGGATTTTTCCAGGTATATAGAACAAAAGTCAAGGACAAAGTTGGGCCTTTAAAGTCAGGGAGGGGGGAAGTGATAAATAGCAGTGAAGAAATAAGCAAAGCATTGAACAGCTACTTCTTATCAGTTTTCACAGAAGAAATTCGCGAGGAAATTCCAGAGGTGGAACTGATATTTAGGGGAAAGGAAGAAGAGAAATTAAAGAATATCACTATCAGAAAAGAGGATGTTCTTAAGAGGATAAATAAACTAAAGAAGACAAAATCCCCAGGGCCAGATGAAATTTTCCCTCGAGCCTTGAAAGAGTGTAGGGAATAGATTAGCGGATCCCTCGTAAATTTATTTACAAAATCATTAGACACTGGAGTTGTGCCAGACTTGTGGAAGCAGGCGAATGTGGTACCCATATTCAAAAAGGGAGACAGAGCATCAGCGTCAAATTACCGGCCGATCAGTTTGACGTCAGTAGTGGGGAAATTTCTTGAAGCAATTATAGCAGATAGCATCCGATCGAATTTAGAGAAAAGCAAATTAATCTACGACTCTCAACATGGGTTTACAAAGGGAAAATCTTGTCTAACAAATCTGCTGACTTTTTTTAGGAAAGTCTTCGAGGTAGTAGATAATGACGAAAATTACGATGTTATTTACTTAGACTTTAGCAAAGCATTTGGCAGAGTACTGCATCAGAGGCTTCTGAGAAAATTAAAGGCTCATGGTATCGAGGGGAAAGTTTTAAATTGGATAAAATCATGGCTCACTGATAGAACGCTGAGGGTCAGCGTAGATGGTGTTAAATCTGAGTGGGGCCGTGTAACCAGTGGGGTTCCCCAGGGGTCAGTACTAGGCCCACTCTTGTTCATAATCTACATAAACGATCTAGATACTGGGATCAGCAGTGACATAAGCAAGTTTGCGGATGACACCAAAATAGGGCGGCAGATTAATTCGGGGCAGGATGCAACTGCATTACAGGAGGATCTAAATAAACTGCAGGGGTGGTCTGAAAAATGGCAAATGAAATTCAACACCAGCAAATGCAGCGTACTTAATATTGGAAGAACAAATACTGTCAATGTATACAGCCTTAACAACATCAACCTAGAAAACTCGACTTGTGAAAGAGACCTAGGGGTACTTGTAAGCCCGGACCTACGGCCTAGAAAACAGTGCATTAATGTTCGAAATAAGGCAAACAGAGTATTGGGTTTTATATCTTGAAGTGTAAGTAATAAGAGTGCAGAGGTCTTATTGCAACTATATCTTTCACTAGTCAGGCCGCACCTCGATTATGCGGTTCAGTTCTGGTGCCCTTATTATAGAATGGATATCAATTCACTAAAGTCGGTGCACCGAAGAATGACGAAAATGATTCCGGGACTTAGAAACCTTCCATATCAGGATAGGTTAAAGAAACTAAGCTTGCATTCCCTAGAAAGACAAAGAGTGCAGGGAGATACGATAGAAGTATTTAAGTGGGTGAAAGGAATAAATAAAGGGGATATAGATAAAGTTCTTATAACATCCGAGCAGGATAGGACTCGGAGCAACGGATTTAAGTTGGATAAGTTTAGGTTTAGGAGGGAGATAGGAAGGAACTGGTTCACAAATAGGGTGGTGGACGAGTGGAACAAGCTTAGCAACTTTGTAGTAAGTGCTGGAACGCTGGAAAGTTTCAAAAGGAGGCTCAATAGATTCATGGATGATAGAGAGTGGTAGTAACTCTCGACAGGAGGTGCCATGCACAGGCCACCGGCCAATTGCAGACTCCTTATTTTCTTATGTTCTTATGTTCTTATGTTTTTTGGGGGGAGAGCACAGGCGGTATTTGCTGCATTAGATTCCGCTCAGTCTGAATACTACGAAGTATTCAAAACTGTAGTGCATATCAACGAGTTCCCAAGGCTTATTTGCAAAAGTTTCGTAATTGCCGGAAAGCCGAAAAACAAACATTTGTCGAGTTCTTCTGGCAGAAACAGCTTCTATGTCGAAAGTGGGTCGAGGGCGAATTGTTATAATTCTATATACTCGAGGATGTTAAAAATTGTATTCCTGCTCGGGTGCGAGCTTATGTAGACAAGTTTGGGTTACGCACATCGGCCGCAGCTAGGCCTGGTGCAGATCATATCTCTCTTACTAATAATGATGTACTTCACAGAGCGCTGGTGTCGTTATTCCAGTCCTCTCAACCCAAGTCTGTCAATATCCCATATGGTTCAAGTTCACTTAAGGAGCAAGCTACCAGGACTACACTGCCAGATGCCTCGTCAGCTGCAGGTGAGAACAGTGCACTGGAGAAGAGTAACGCTATTGTGTCTAGTGAGAAG